TGTTTGAATATCCTTACAAAGAAGTGCCGAACTGAGATTTCAGAGGTAAAATTAAAATGTTTATTGCTCGTTTAAGCACATGATCTGTCATCTGAAATGTTTTAATGTGACATTTAAGTTAAATAAAAACCAACTTTATTTAAATTAGACCACTTAAAAACATTAACATTTCCAAAATGACCAGTTTATGAAATAAAAATGTACACACACAGCAATTAAAAGGGAATTAATTGTGATGCTTTGCTGAAATAAAATCTATGCTTTCTGATCTGTAAAGCTGAACCAGCCAGCGCCATAGTGACATGCGTCTGTTGACATGAAGGCTTTTCTTATTCTTGTTACAGTTATTCATCACCAGTAAGCTGTGTGTTGTGTGTCGCTTGCAGAGGGTCTCCAAAACTTGTAATAAACTGGATTAAAGCATAAAAATAATATACTGCAAAACAACAATATGCCCGTTAAAAATAAAACAACATCTTGGTAGCAAAATAAGTTTTTTCACATGATCCATCTGTTATAATGTGGATTTTACATTTACAGTAGAGGCAGCACGGTAACGTCATGGGTAGGTTTTGGTTAAATTTCCCGCAGCTGCCAGGCACCGATCACCTCAGAATATCCAGTGGTACAATAATATCTTCTGTCCTGGAAACCATCCATCTCATACGCATCTACAGAACAGCTACACACAGTGGTGTACTGTGTTTCTAAAATTGGATAATATTAACATGGTGCACAAATGAAAGAAAATTTAAAATGTAAGCAAAAAACAACAGCCACTTAAGCAAGGGTATGTATTTTATTATTAAACTTTACTCACTTTATGCATTTTTTGTTCAGTGGAAAAAGAAGAATCTACATACTTTAAAAGGGGGTATTAAATCATGCACAGTGCCAACTGTTGTGAATTTGAGCCCTTTTTGCAATGTGAGGATATTGTAATATTCTCGTATCAAACTGTCAGGTGACAGGTTTATTTTTGTCCAGTGATGGGCCTTCAATTCTAAAAATCTGACACCAAAGAGGCCTCATTTTCAAAGCGTCCAAACGAAGACTTAACGGCAGCGAATCTGAACCTCTGAGACTAAAAATGTTGCAACTGTGAATGGAATAAAATTCTGACAGTCACTAAGAAAATGTATATTTTCATTTTGAAGACTGAAGCAGGATATTTTGGCTAATCCTTTCATTTATTTATTTGCATGAAAAGTGCGCTTTTAAACCTCAACTCTATAAGAATGCAAAAGTGTCCCTTTTGAACTTGAAGAAGAATGTAATGTGAACTCATGTCTTACCTTCCTGTTTTATAATCCATAGACTGAATCTTACTGACAGCTCCTCAATAGGCTCCGTCTCCCCAGAAAGGCCTTGTTGATCTGATCATACCCTGTCACTTCACACAAGCCCTCTCTGGCACCCCCGACGCTTTCTACTGACAACAATCCAAAGCAAAAGCCTCTGTATACTTCACAGTGAGGTCTTTGACCACAGATGGACAGTGGGACTCAGGACTGGAGACCAGAAAGAAATAGAGAAGTTGTTCTAGAGAGAGTGTCCGCCACGGGGGGACAAAATGAGGGCTTCAACTAACATGCATCTCTGCGAGATCCTTTGGTGTCGAGTGTCAGGTGGATGAAACAAACAGCCTCACAACTATTTTTAAATCTGGAGAGCTAACCGTTGGCCATTAGTAGCTAGAGCTAAAGTTGAAAAATGTTATAACAAGCTGAGGAAGCTGTGGAGTCTAAACCGGGAGAGAAACCAAATTTTGTGAAGATGTGTCAATACTGTGGGACATGGGTGGGTGAGCTGGTGGGGGTGGAGAGGGGACTGCAGCTGGGGTGCCCTTCGGGGGGACATAAATAACTCAGTTGCCTGCACTGGGAGTGCCATCCTCTTTGTTGAACAGAGCTGACAAGCATTATATGGAGTGGCTCTTGGTCAGAACCCACCTGCTACTATCTCCAGTGACATGAAAGCAGCTTTCTACGGACTATTAGAACTCTTGACAGAAATATTTGATTTGTCACATTTGATCATTCGTTTTCTTTTGACAGATAATTGTCATACATCTGAGAGGCTCTTCTCAGCATGAATTTTACCCTCACACTTATTACAGCACTTGAACTATGGCAGTCTAATCTCCCCGGCTACAGCCTCATTCAACCCCCAGCAGAAAAGGCCATAAATGGTAAATGGTCTTATACTTGTATAGCGCCTGTCTATGCTTTTACAGCACACTCAAAGCGCTTTCACACATTATTTGGCCATTCACCCATTCGCACTCCCAAGCACTCACGCATTCACACACCGGTGACATCACCGGGAGCAACTGGGGGTTTAGTGTCTTGCTCAAGGACACCTCGACATGTTGACTGGACAAGCCGGGAATCGAACTGCTAATCCTCCGGTTAGGAAATGACCCGCTCTACCTCCTGAGCCACAGCCGCCCATAAGGCCCCACCACCACAACTCTCCTCTCCCTCCCCTCCTCCCCCTCCTACAGCCCAGTGCTATAATAGGAGATTGCTGCAGCAGATAGTTTCCTGGGATTGTTGGCAGGTGCAGGGCAGGCCTAGCTGAATGATGGACACACACACATGGGCTTCAGTGGAGACGTAATCTTGCACATATGCCCACACAACACACACACACACATTCAGAGATGGTTTTACATAGAGCTCACTAAACTTTGGGAAAGGCTGAGGTAATCCCTTTTTAACTACATTTCTCTTTTCTCGCTCCACCCACATGGCCCTTCTCTTCCACAGTTTTTCTCTCTACACTGGACTCTTGTCAGTCGGTAACATCCATCTCTAGTTTTTTTCCATTAGATTCTCAGATCTCAAACATCATCATTCACTATTTGCAACTTGCTGCTTACTTTGGGGCCCTCAGTGCTCAGCACTTGTTAAAAATGGGTTTGATTAATAAAATTTAATTTACAAAAACTTCCCTCAGCAAAAATTACTGTGTGTTTATCCGAGCTGCTCTCTTCTCCCACTGAGGTTTGAAATGAAGCCTGTGGTGAGTCTGGACATGTTTCCTGCTCACTACGCCCCTCTAGTGGACAAACCAAGAATGAACACCCACTTCCATATGATCTGTTCTGAAATATTTAACTTTTTTGATACATATCACTTAAGTTTTTTGTTTGTTTCTTTGTTTTTATTTTGCAAAGCACGCCTCGACAGCTTTGCTTCAACATAGTGGTACCGTGAAGCTACTGAGAACTGTAAGCATTGATCACAACTGCTGAGGATGCTCTTCCCTGTGCTGAGTAAGGAGGAGCAGAGCTGTGGTTATGCGGCAGACAGCAGACAGGCACATTACTTGCTGCATTAAGATATGCTTTGTTTGTATTATCTCCATTCAGAGATGAGCTTAATTGATTCTAATTGATTGGGTTATTGATCAGCTCTGTTACAGGAATTAAAAGCAGAGATGATACGATAGTAGGGTGTTTTGGTCCTTCAGTGCACTGGGCCTGAATCACTTTGTGTCTGAATTTAGAAAATGGGTCCTAAAATTATAGGTATGTGCCAGTCACTCTTGACCACACTTTCTCTTTGTATGTGCCTTATATTGTCTGTGTGTGTCTGTGGATGGGTACATGTGCACAAAGTCTCCCTGTTTCAGGACATATTTTCCCACATCCCTACAAAATATTTCATTATTGTAACAAAAGAAGCCCATTAACTGTACTGTAAGAACAGAGTTCAACTGCCGTCCCTCATATTCACCATGTTTGTCTGCTTTTCTGGCCGCTCTCCAGTTAATTTGATATAACAATGCTCCACAAAACCGCCTCAGGACTTTTTTTAGGTGACAGAAAATTATCAATGATGCCACATGCACAGCTGAATGTCAACACCAACTTGACTTGTTTATGAAATATTAAAGCAGTGAATTATGGGCACCATGCAGAACTTAATGATGATCGGAGTCATTATAACTTCAGCCTCCTTTGTTTTGGCTAATGATTAAATTCCAAAACTACTGTATTCAATTTTGTGGAAACTGAATGTGCTATTCACTTCTTTTGTATGAGCTGGCTGGATTTGGTTGTTCATATTGGTACATTTTTGGAAAAGGAGCTGACTTGTATAAGGCTATTGTGTTATCATTAGCTGCCATGTCACTTGGTTTAACATCTTTGCTTTAGAACTCTCTTATGCACTTAAAGCAAAATCAATATATTAGGACATGATGTTTTTATTTGGAGCATGAATAGATACAGCGGAGTACCTGCTATATAATAAGCCTGCGCTATTATATTGCCAAATTTATAAAAATGGGTAATAATATATTGTGTTTTTAAAATGTCATCTTGTCAGAATTTGGACATTTCTGCCAATTTATCTCTGCTGTATGATGTTTGGTTTTGTGGGAAAATATGGCGTTCCAATAAAACACAAATGATAATGTCACAGGAGGGTGTCTCAGTGTGTGAAATGTCATTTTATTGAATATTGGGGTATTTACAACATGCACACAATGGTGTGAAAAAGAGGATGTGAGTGCTCGGCGCTCTGTGTACTACCTGGCACGACTTCTGACATTATCTCCCTCTTCTGTGTCACCAGGGTGTCGCCTCATCAATTATTGAACCAGTACTTCATGGTAATACATAATTTCTTATCAATTATTCATGGTAATGTGTGTGTAGTTTACTTAATTGTGTTATTGACTATCAAAAGTAATTTCCTGAAAATCCTCAAGGACGCAAATTGAATCAGCCCAACTACTGGTTGTGTGCACTGCGGTTAAGTATTCTCAGTCTGATCAGCTGATCCTTTATTCAAGAGTCACTCTAGTGAGGAAAGAGATTTAGGAATAATGAATCAATAAATGTATTGCCTGTGATAAGCTATTGTGTAGAAAGCCATGAGGTGATGACATTTTTTAAAATGTAAACTCAACATTAATAAAAAGCATATATCATGTTTAATGGAGTTTATTAAAAGATGCTCAGAGAGAGGAAGAGGAGAAGCAAGAAAGAGAGAGGGCAGGCGTTCCTAAAAGTAAATAAATAATAAGAGTCACAATTGCTTTTCTCTCCCGGCTTTAAGGGAAGCTGATAAATAATGTATCAGAACAGATGGCTGGAGCGGGAGGCAACAGGAGTGGAACATGAGCGACTACATCTTTAATTGTTTTAAAGAACATGTCACAACAGGAGTGGTGTGTTCCCTGTCTGCTGGCGCTACAGATGTGCTAACAGAGTAGAGGGGACAACCGACACTCATCAACGAGTCTGCTTTAGCCTTCCCGGGGTCACACATGAACACACTGTATTCTGGCACATGTACACATTTACACTAAAAATGGCCAATTAATATTAAAGTGCATTTTCACTTTAAAATCAAAAGAGCGAGGGAGGATTGTTTAAGCCCACTGCTGACCTGATGGCATAAACATGACTGTATATTGCCCAAATCCTCACAGTCCTGCCATCACTTCCACACTTACAATTTACATGCATTAACATTCACAATGTAAGCATCTGTCCTCTTTATGAAATGAGAGGATCTGTATTAGATTACTTAAATTCACATTATCAAATAGGTCTTGTCTTGTTGCACACATGTTGTATCTATGTTAGTCCATCAAATAGAGTCCAAGAGTGCATGAAACTGATATCGATCCAAAACCACACTTGTGCTTTTATGGGAATAACAAGGCCCCACATATTCAGCATTTCTCACAAACAATAATAATTTACTGTCAAATAAATATTTTAATGTTTGTATCCACACAAAGTCTTTCCCAGGCTGTTTCTTGAGTCAGTCAGTAGTTGTGCTTAGTTACTCATAGGACCAGAGTAGAGTAGTAATAACAGGCACGATCACACAGACTTCGGGTATCAGTACATCCACAATGACATCCAGCATCTCATTTTTTCTCCAGCGACTCCTTGGAGCAGTGAGGGTGCTTGTCAGAACTGCTGCCCAGGACTGGGACCTTGGTGGCCGGGCTGGGACTGGAGCTGTCTCCCCCTCTCCCCACAGTGCCAGGAACCTCGATGGCAGGACCCAGTGTGGGCCGCGCCACCCCGACTGCGCTCACTCCAACTCCAGACAAGACTCCCACGCCAGCACCGGGCCCAGCTGCCGCACCAAGCAGGTTGGCAGACTGCAGCACAGCTTCCGAGTGCTCACGGGCCTTCATGCGAAGGGCAGCCACGCTGGCTGTGCGGTTACCCTGACAACTGTAGGGCGGCAGGAAGGACAAGCCCATGGGATCAGAAACACAGCAGGAGCACAAACCGTTACCTGAAAAAACAAAAGTGGGACTTGTGGTGAGACTACCAAACTAGATTTTTATCATTACTATTCACCAGTTAATGAGAGTCATATTCACCTTTCAGTGTGGCGACTTGTGAGAGGGCCTGGGCGTATGTGGCGGAGTTGAGGAGTGTGCCTGGTAAACAAGATGGGAAGAACGGACCAGCAGGACCCACTGTCCTGTTGATACTGGAGTGAACAGACGTACTGTATGAATAGTGCAAAGTTTAACACTACTAGTTCATAATCAGTTTAAAAATTGAAAGAGTTTATGAAGGAGTATTTTCTTATGGCAGTTATATATTATTTGTTTCCATCACTCAGATCTACCAGTTTTCAAATCTAGATGAGCAACCTGTCACAAAATTTTCTTCCAAATAGGGCACTGTTTCACAAGAATGACAACTAAAACAGTCATCTGTCTGTCTTTCCCCACCTCTGCTGCATCTCCAGTGGTTCTTTTTGCTTTCTGCTCTGGTCCACTGGAGACTGAGAGTTCATGCTGCGAGATGGAGGAGTGCCCTCACTCATCTGCTCCTTCCCTCCTTCAGGGTCTGTGCTCCCTCGCTCTGTCTTCCTCCACTTTGCTCTGCGATTCTGAAACCAAACCTGCATTAAAAAGAAAATATAAACGGGAAAACAAAAAGCAATGCAATTCAAGTAAATTACCAATTAAAATTGGGATATGCCTGCATTTACTGACATTTTATTAACAGAAACCAACGTTTTTCTTACCAAATTCTAATTTCTCTATTGCATAGACAAACTAATGCACACATATTCCCTTATAACTATACTTTTTTGTCTTATTTAGCAAAGTTTTTTCTCTTTTATTTGAAGAAACATTTGAATGTGTCACACCACCTCTCTACTTTCCTACAGTTCCAGACTTATTCAAAAAAACTTCACCATTCACACAGCTGAGAACATATACAGTAAGTTCTGCTATCTTAATCGAATGAAGGTCACTGCCTATAACAACATTTAATTGAGCAATTTTTCATTATCATATTTTAATGACTTCCCACTGACAGTTGTGCTGCCTGAGAGAGAGGCAGCTATGATGAAGTCGTTTATTTCCCTATTTAGTGATTGTTTGACAACATCAGATTCGATTAGGACTGGGTTCTAGCAGGCATTAATCATGATGTGTGAATAGAGGTTAGACTCAGTGTGCATGTGCTCTGCATCAGCTCTATTGTATAGGGGCTATAAATGATGTCAACAGCCAAACAAAACGCACACATTCATTCGGCATAAAGAAAGGACAACATTTTGGTGGCAGGACGACAATACAACCAATGGACTTATCTCACCCCTGCACCTTCCAGCTAGAAGTCGCGCCCCCCTACACACACCCGTCTGTGAATGGGCTATAATTGCTCCATTAATCTCAATTTGCTGCGTGCTCTTAATGCGGGGGAGGCCCATTGACACTTTACAAAAAAGGGGGGCAACAACACCAGGAACAGAAAGGAAATTTATTTTCTAATAATAATGTAAGTTTAATATCCCTGCATACTGCGGTGGATTCATGTTCAGATTTAATAATAGGAATGTGGTAATCGGATTAGGAGGGGAATAATTTGTTTACAATCCCTAATTTACAGCGCTGGATTCCATTATCAACCCCGCCATTGGGTTTAAGCGATAGTAAGATGACCCTGGGGAACAAAAGGCAAACTATTATATTTCCCACAATTAGATCTGCGCGCACAACAAAACCCAAAAGCAAATCTGGAATGCAGGAAATTATATACAGGACACATAACTTAATTACATCTGGCCAAGTTTATAACCGCGCATATGTGTAGGGCAGGAGCAGAATATAAATTGCCAAATTGAAGGTGTGTGTGTGTGTGTGTGTTTTGGGTGAGTTTGTACGTGTGTGTAACAGTCAGAGAGATAGGGAGAGGGAGTTTTGGAGGTTGCAGGTTTTGCCCTCTTTAAAGCGCATATCGTTTTCTGTCTGAGTTACGGGAATGGGTTTTGCAGGAATGATATATTCCTACCTTTGAGACGCGGACAAATTAGTGAGGAACATTATCGCTGGTTAATTATGAATGACCGATTAATCAAGCTAATCTAATATTCACCATTATGTTGATGTTATTAAAGTACATCGCAGGAATGACAGAGTGGCTTCATTCGCCCTCTCCCGCATGGTCAAACGTGCCCAGGACACATTACGCTGCCTACCTGCACCCTGGCCTCGGTCAGGTTGATCTTCATGGCCAGCTCCTCCCGGGTGAACACGTCCGGGTAGTGAGTCTGGGCGAAGACAGCCTCCAAAGCCTCCAACTGCATGGAAACAAAACTCCAGTCATACTTTAAATAACTTTATTTCCTACTGATTGATAGATTTGTTTGTGCTTTTTTTAAATTTAAGCTTAACTTTTCCTTAATGTTATCCTCATCAGGTCAAAGCTGTTTTAAAAATATAAAGCCCTTAAACTCGCTTATACATTTGACAGGGACTATTACATGAAAAAGTAAAGAAGCCAAAAATAGGCTTAAATATTGGCCTAAAATCAAATTGGCCTGCACGCATAGGGAGGCCAATGTGCAGTTGTGCCCACGCAAGATCTTCAAAAGGGCGAATATTAATTTCTAGAGGTGTCCCTATTTTTATTTTCATACGTGTGAAACAAATATGTTATTTTGCTTTAGGTTGTTGTCGCATCAAGCCAGTTTGAAGGCCTTCGTTTTAGTTATCTGGAAAACACAACAGTCTGCTCAAGCCCTTAATTTTGAAAACTTTGCCAAACGTTTTATTCTTGTCCTGGTTTTAATACAGAGCCCCATGCCTGTTTCGCCTTTAGTGACGTTTCACATATTTCTTGTTGTCATATTTATGTTTTTTGTTTGTTTGTTTGTTTTTTACCTGTTGCAAAGTAAACGTCGTTCTGTTTCTGCGCTGTTTTCTACGTAGAAACCCGTCATCAAAGTCAGTCGGGGCGTGGTTGGCAAAACCGCTTGAATTCACTGGAAAACAAAAGTTTATTATAGAGAGTTCAGTCACCTGAGAAAAGAGATTTACTATGTCAGTTTTAGGTTTAAATGAATAAAAATACAACTTGGATTGTTAGAAAATAACAATAGTAATAATAATATTGTCTAAATACTGGCCAAAACCAGCAAGGTTGGGGAATTTATTCTCTGGCACATTTTGTGTTTCCATTACTTGCATGAAACATTGATGTTGGGTAACTGAGAGGACCCATGACGGACTAAGAGCCGTGACACCCAACATCTGTGCCCGGGACAAAACGCCCCCTCTGCCCTGGGGCCAAACCACCAGCGCTTCCACCAAAACAGCCAGCAGATTGATATGGCAGGAGGAAAAAACTTAACCCTTTACATCCACCTCTGAATTTGAGAGAAAGAATATATATATATACATATAGATTCGGCATCCAACCCATTTCAGTTTGAATTTTTAAGATGAAAAATATCGGTTTTTGTTATGACGATCACAGACTGCGGAAATATTTTAAATAATCACTGCAAAAAGGCTTTTGCATTCACAGGCCTGTGTCATTTCCACTGTGAATTATGTATAATCATAAGAAATGGAATAACGAAAACATCTGCTCAGGCCTATTCTCGTCCTCCAACAGCACACACACACACACACACACACACACACACACACACACTGTGCGTGCAAGTACGCTGCCTAAACATCACATAACTTTGGAGACGCCATCTTTCAGAGATACGTTAGAAATAACCCTGTTACATGAAATCAACAGAAAACGAGGTTCTAAAAACGCAGAAGAAGAGAACTTACATGTATTGGAGCGGCAGCACTCTCCGTCCAACTGAGGCGGACAGTGAAAGTAGAACATCCTGGCGCGTCTCTGAGCTGCGAACCTGAAACTGGAACAGAGACAAAAGTTTTAGCACAAAGCGTCAGATCAGCTGCTACAGCAGCAGGCGTGCGATGCAGATCTGTGGTGAAAGATTTAACACAGTAAAACGCCCTAAGAAAAGGTGGCACCGTAAAGGAGTTCGCAAGATTCAAAGTTGATGTGAAAGAGCATCCTACCTGCAGTGATGATGCTGATGTGAGTGAGTTTCCGCTCTGGAGAGAAGTGGCTGCGCACTTCCACGGATTCTCTGTCTGGGAGTGTCCAGAACTCTCTCTCTCTCTCTCTCTCTCTCTCTAAGAACACACCACACTCATCTCTCTCTCTCTCTCTCCATCTCTGTGTGTCTCTCTCTCTGGGAGTGTCCAGATGTCTCTATAACTGTATAGCTGTCTACAGGGTGTTAAGGCTTTCAGCTAGTGTCGCAGAATCTCACGCCTAATTGGTCCTAATCGGATTATCACGGCTTTGTCTCTCTCACCCCCAACCCCTGATGTGTGTGTGTGGGTGTGTGCGCGCGTGTGTGTGGGTGTGTCAGAGACAGAAAGAAAGGAGGAGAAGGGAGATAAACTCAGGGTGGCAAACGGCAGCTCTGGTGCCAAAATATTCATCACAAGTGATTGTTATTCCAGACTCAAGCATATTCCCTAACCATAAACATGCACACATACCCGCTGCACTTTTTATTTGGTTCTTTCATATATTAAAAAAAGGAGGATGACTGCTTTTGGGTTTTAGATTGACTGTCGGGCGGGTTAATTGCTCGTCAGGGTGTGTTAGGGGGTCCACTTTACAAGGGGTTGCGCATGTAGAACACTCACAAGGCCAAATTTTTGATTTTGTTCACAGCAAGGGGTCCTGCGATTTATTTCGCTTCCTCAGATAAATGATCTGCTGCGGGACCCTTTCAATTAGTTTTAAAGCGCATCTGGGACGGCAGAGCGCAGACGCCATGCGTCTCTGAGGTGGCGGCAAAATGAGGCTTCGAGAAGCAGCTGAAATTTAGAAGAGGAGTGCGGGATTGGACTAAACCACATAAAGTGCAGAAAATCCCTTCTAATGGCGCGTAATTGGTTCTGTAATATCATTACAGGCGGATAATGGCCAGTTACAGGGCCCCGCGCTATTAAGGGTTTCCCTGGCGTGCAGCGTTTATGTTATTAAAGGGGGAATATAATGATATTTTAGTTATTAAATGCGCGTAATTAATTTATGCACCACTGAAAATAAAGTTGTTATTATGACCTCGGCGAGGTGCGTGGAGAAAATTGAAATCAAATAACGGTTGATAACTTTATCCCAATATTTGGTCTAGACAACTCTGACAAGAGTGCAGGCCTAAGTGTGTGTGTGTGTATCTGCTTCCTGTCAGCGCCTTTCCTCCTCTTCCTCTGATGATTGCTCAAATGACTAAATGGAATTACACTCTCATCTCCGTTAGTTACACAACGTTTAAACAATCCTACCAATAAACAATATGTTGGTTCTCATGTTCAGTTTTCTACCAGTTACATTTGAGGAGCTTGAGCTGCACCACACTCAAGTAACCCCCCCCCCCACCAATGTCCTGAGTGAGCTTAACATGTCATATTTGGATATGTCGATTATATCCCAGTTTCCATATCTACCACTGTTAGCAGACTGTGCCAATTAAATTTATCCTAAACTGAGAAAAAAAAAGTTCAAATCTGTCAATTTTAGCTGGATAACTTGTTTTTATGCACTTATAATTAACTTACAAATGTATTTTACACTGATTCAGTCTTTTTTAACAAATAACTGGAGGTACCCAATTTGAATATTACTGTTAAATCTCACACGCACACAACTCACACAATATCAGCAGCACCATATTTTAATTCAAGTCAGTCATTACAAATCTTCTAATAACTATGATAACAGGTCATATTTACAAAATAATTTTATAGTAGAACATTACAAAATGGGAGGTAACATTCTTTCAAGTAAACAAGTGAATTCAAGTATAATCCTGTACAGACAACAGTGAACAAAAACAATTGCAATATTTCCTGAACCAGCACAAACTAACATTCTGATATTGCAGCTGAAATAAATTTCCCAACTCCCCTTAAACACTTAGTTAAGTGATAAATAGCTGATACGTTTAACTAACCCCACAGTCCATTGCCTACAATAGGGGCCTTCATAACAAACTGCAATAATGTGAAATCCATTTCCATCTGGTGTGCGCCATTTATTTTTGCCACTGACTTCTCCGTTTGACACAAGTTGACAAACAGATATTTTAAGCTTGAACTCTACAGGCTTATGTTTGGCAAGAACTCAGATATGCATCACAGTTCAGTCTCTCTTCCGCTTTCATTTGTGCTTCACTCAGCGGAAGTGCTCCTTCAGCCTCCAGATTCCCTCCTGACCAGATGTCCTGTGGAAGTCACAGATGCTCCTCAGCAGTTCTCTGAAGACGGGTGCCTGTTTGTGGGTCAGCCTCGGTTTGAAATACTCCAACACTTCCTGGGTAGTGGCCTGTCCGTCCACATTTGCCTGGAAGGCTACAAAGTTGCGCAGATCTACCAACAGCTCGTCATGCTCGGTGGGCGGTGCTGGGAGGGAGTTCCTTCTTAGAGCTTCAGAGCCATCCTCCTCTTCCTCTGCTTCTTCTCTTTGGCTGGAGGGCACACTGAGGTGATTACGGGCTCTCATCTTGGCCAGCAGAGACAATGAGGAGAGTGGGGCGGGGTTTGCGTCACTTTCTGCCCCCTCCCCACTGAAATGAGCTGCTGTGCCAGGTTTCTTTGACACGGACTTCTTTACAATAGCAGCATCCTAAATAGAAAATCAGATGAATTTACACAACATGGCTTAACAAACACTGCTGTATCCAGTGTACATCTTTTCATATAACACTGCTCTTACTTTGCATTTGATCGAGGCAGGGACAGCTTGAACAGAAGGTGCAACCAGGAGAGAATTCTTCTTTTGTCCAAACCGTTTCCTAAGAAAGCAGACAGGAAAAACTGAGATATGTCTGTTTTATATAAGATTAGTGAAGCTCTTAAAAATCCCAGTGTGTGTGAGAGAGAATGCGCACTTAGCAGGTGGAGGAGGGGGTCTGTTGAAGGACAGCCTGCATTTTTGGCGAGAAACCTTAAGGGCTTTCAGGGCATCTTTGGCCACTCGGTTGGCTTCTGCCTCGACGAGAACATAGTCAGAGCTGGAGGAATCCATGATGCTGTCATGCTGCATCACACTGTGGATACCTGAAGAAGGTAAACAAATAAAGTACAGGCAACATAAAAGTGTGCCGTTTTGTAAGACTTACTAAATAACCCATGGGGAGGGCACACAAAGCCTACCGGATTTCTTGAAGAGCTTTGCCAAGACATAATCATCTAATTTCTTCTGGTTCTTGGTCTCATCATCTTCACTTTCTGCCTTCTTATAGGTCCTTTTCTTCACCAAGTGAGAGATGCGATGGCCTTCAAACCGGGCATTCCGGGAGTGTCTGTGTTTCTTATGTTTGCGTTTGTCTGAGTCAGCTGAGTCACAGTGCTTCCTCTTCTCCCTGTGTTTCTGTGGGCTACTGAGGGCCGAGGCTTTATCCCTGTGCTGGTGAGAGCTGGCTGAGTGTGAGGTTTTGACTGCTGGCATGGCTGCATCCCAGTCTCTGTTATTCTGTTGTGCAGGCTGTGCGTTTGCTGAAATGTTTGATTCGACATCCCTGCCATTTTGGTTGGTGCTTTGACTGTTTGTCATGACATCTGGTTTAACTTGAGAGACTGCACTGCATGGAGAGGTGTCCTCATGTTTTATTGCAGGAAAGTCTGTCAGGGAGTGTCCACAGTTTGCACCTGTTTCATTCTGGTTTGCTGAGGAGTGTTTATGTGTACGGCTGCCATGGTTTACCATGTGTGATGGCCCTGGCCTCTCAGTTTTCTTGGGAGCCTTAACATCAGAGCCTGTACCTGATATAAACAAAACCTGTCAGGTCAATTATTTAAAACTTACTTCTGGGTTCAAATAAACTAATAACTGGACAAATGTAATGTTTCTGTGGCAAGAGAAAAATCTGCACACCTGCAAATATGGCACTGGTCTCTGTTCCCTGAGCTCCATCAGGATCAGACAGGGTGAAGAGCTCATACATGTCGTTAGACTTGAAGAACCGTCTTTGTTTGGGGTCCTTCAGCACACGATTGGTCAGAAACTGTTTGAAGATTTGCCTGAATGAAAACAGAAAAATACAGAATTAGATCACCGTGTGTAGTCTGCTGTTTTGCCTCAGCATGCAGCGCCGATCCTCTGTCACCACAGAGTAGTTTGGCTGATGGATGAGAAAATTAGTTAACCACACCACTGTAGGTATCAAAATAGAATCCCTGCTGTTCTTCCAACTTGCTTTTAGAAAGCACTTTACAGGCACAAACCCAACAGAGCAACGGTTTAGAACGGTTAGAAGTCCTAGATTGGCCATTTAATAATGCAGGAAAGCTTTTCAATTACTGGGAACTGGGAGAGCGCAAGTAGTAACAGAGCAGTGATGTGAGCAATTAGTCACGTCATTACCAACATTCTTGAACGTGTGAACTTAATGGAAAGACAACGAAAATGGAAGATGGGGTGAGAGAAAGCACAAAAGCCACCACAGGATTTTTTAAATCACTTTTTTATTAAGTTCTGTGATTAAATATGTGTACGGAAGTGCTTACGTGCATAACATGAAAACACTGCTGTCTGACCTGTGGTAGATTTTCTCCTCGATGGTCCCTGCAGTCAGCAGTCGGTAAATCGTCACTTGCTGTTTCTGACCAATCCTCCATGCGCGTTCACGTGCCTATGAACGATAGCAGAGAGTCGCAGTAAACAAAAAGAAGCAGAAAGTAAACATGAGGACAAAAACTCTGAAAAGCAGGAAAAACGCTTGGAAAAAAATATGTAAATGTATCTTACAAATAACACTGTTCCTTAATGAACAATATAAAATCTCCTAAGAAATACTGGACATGGTAAATGAATTACTGTGTGTGTCTGTCTACCTGTGTATCAGTACTGGGGTTCCAGTCTGGGTCATAGATGATGACTCTGTTGGCTCCAGTCAGATTGACTCCCAGACCTCCGACTTTAGTGGTCAACAAGAAGATAAAAATTGATTTGTCCTGCAAAGAAAAATGTCACTGACTAATGAAGAACATGTCCACAGTTTTATACTCTTTCTAACAATCACATGGGTATAACCATATAAAGAATTAGCAAACTGTTTACACAAAATCTGGAGGATAACAAAGTAAAACCACAATAACCCATTCTTCCAAATTAAACTCTATTTAAAGATAAATAGCTTAATGTCATTTGATCTGACTGTGCAATAGATAAGACTTTAAATTAAAAATATTGATCAGATCAGAAGTTTAAATCTGTTTAGAATCCGCCCTCTAAAGATACACAGATGTTGTTCTAATATTCACATATCTGAATTTCAGTACAGGGATGATCAAGTACATCCAGTTTGAACGACAGATTGTCACCACTTAGCGTTTCTACCTTAGCATAAGCCGGGTTCCACTGAAGCTTTCTGTCCCTCAGGACGGGATTTTCATGGGAACCACTCAGAGCCATTAGGGATGACTAAATCTTACCTCGTTGTAGCGAGCAATGAGTGGCTGTCGAGAAGCTATCGTGGTAGTGCCATCCATTTTAAGGTATGAATAGCTATTCTCCATCATGAACACTTCCAAGATGTCCAACATCTGGAAAGGAATAAGATGATAAAGACAGCAGAGAGACAGTGAGGAAAGGGAGAGAGAGATCAAGAAAGAGGGGCTTAGGTTTGAATTATCTCTAAAAGGATTACAGCAGATTAATATTACATGGACAGAGATACCGACAGGGAGGGTCTCAGGTTCCCTCTGAGGTATAATCTCATTGGTATTGACTGCAACAGCTGGGACTTCTCTCACATACACACACACACACACACTGCTCTCTCACACACAATTTTATTGGCACATGGGCTGTAGGCAGCCAGCAGGAAACATAGACTTAACAACTGCTAATTTAATACATTCATTTGAAGCACAGGAAGAAATGCCTGTCTTGTCTATGCATAAACCAATCATGGGGATACGATTTGATATATTGGGATACTCTAAAGAAGGCCATATATAGTGATTTAGTTTTTAAATCCCATTTTAGAAAAACAAGCAACACAAACACCATATGCATGTATTTTCTTACAACCCAGTACATATTTTCTATGTATTAGGGGGGTTTTATATATGTGTGTGTGTGTGCATATATTTTTTTAAGCGCAGCATCAAAAGGGTGAATCAGAAGAATGTGTTCCTCACCTGTCTAGACTGAGTGAAGAGCAGGACTCTGTGGCCCTGTTTAAACCAAACCCGCAGCAGTGACTCCACCACTATCAGCTTGCCTGAACGTTTCCAAAAGCCAAAGTGTTCCTCCTCAGTTAGCTGGTTCTCTGGGACCCCCCTCAACATCCGGGGGCCGCCCGAGAAAAGGTCTGGGTGGTTACAGATCTTGCGTAGCGTTATCAAACCTGAAAATACCTAAACAGCATTTAAAAAAGGAAAAAAAGAGAGAAATTAACTTTAGGTTTCTTTCAGAAATCCAAAACTGGTGACAGTTGACAGTACTGGTATAAAATGTTTGTATATTTCTCTGCATTTCTAGCACTGCACCTTTAAACAAATAAACACATTTACTTGAGTCTACAGGAATGAGTTACATAATTTATTTACAAAATATAAAGGCCTTGTTTCTTGATGAAGGCCCAATGGTCACTGCATTAGTAATGGTGGTTAATGGACTGAGAGTGACCACTGAATGTGTCTGTAAGAGCGTGTATGTATGCACAAACTGCTGTTGTCACCCCTGGCTCTCCAACCACGTCCATTTGGTCAGTGGTGATAAATGGTTGAGTCTCTCTCTCTCAAGGGTCTGACTAATGTGAGAAGACAAACTGCACAACCTTCTTAAAGAGAGAATCTTAAAGAATACTAAAGTCGAGCTATTAGGGGTTTAACAAAGTTTACATGGCAAAAAATATTAACTCCACTGATGCCACTTAAAGATGTCGATTGTTGTTGTTTAAGTGTACAAGAGTGTTGCATAAAAATACAGACAAATGCCGGTGAGAGAAAGGGCTGAAGAGAAATTCATCAGTTAGTGGGTTGATAAATGAATTAGACAAGTCATGTCCCTCCAAGTCTGCTTCTCAACCAACTATTTCGCCCTCTTTGTCTTTGTAATGCAGTGTGAGTCAACACAAAGAGCTCAAAGGGAAGAAGCAAATATACCCACAACAAAACAGTGAGTCCATTTTAACTGTGAAAACACAGCTCACCTGCATGTCCCCATTTAGTATCTGGTAGACTTCTTTGGAGTCTAAGAAGCTCTGATACACCTGGCGCTGTTCATCTGTTAATCTGCAAAACAGAACCTACACACACAGAAGTACAAAAGTGTGTAATGAGCAGTGATCATCGGTTTTAAAGCCCCTTGATGAAGTGCAAGGTGTGAGGAGAGAAATCAGAGGGAAACTGTTTTTGGAGCCACTGCTGTCCTTGGGGACTGACTTAATGAGCTGAAGTGAAGAGTCAACCAGCGTCAGCTGAGAGGACAGACCAGAGACCAGCCACCTTAATGAATACCTGCTCCTTTTACTTTACTAGGACTTTATTAGCTGGCTTCATCTGACAAGGGCCATGCACATTCATCAAATACTCCTTAGATGTGGTGCATGTAGTCACATCCAATCAGATAAACACCTCCCCAGTTAAGAGATCCGGGCGTGAGAGGCTGTTCAATATTTAGACAAAACAGGGTCAAATGACTCAGAGTACGAGGAATACCTGTTCATTTTTGTCAGGTAAGGAGAGGTTGGCCTTGACGTCTGCCTTCATTCTTCTGAGCAGATAAGGATTGATGGTGTCCCTCAGCACGCATGCGCACTTAAATGCCGTCTGGACCTGATCAACAAGAGTTCAGCCTTTTAGTACAGACTAACTGCATTAAAACAAAAGCAGCATTCAGTTCAGTGTGTCATACAATCACATCAACACACACACACACACACACACACACACCTATCAGTGTGAACGTTTCTCAAGGCATGATCATCATTTAGCCAGTCTTCCACCCTCTCTTATTAGCTCTCTCATGTAGCTGTCCCTCTCAACAGTACAGGGCATTAAACATTGATCAGACTACTGTTGGTCTTGAGGGACCAAGCCTTCCTCTTTCATCAGTAGTACCGGCCAGCTTCGCCAGTACTACTGATGAAGCTTAAAAACACCAGGCTCCACCCCACACTAGGAACCCTTCTGCAAATGGCCAGATACACCTTATTCAGAGTCTGTGCTAAAGGCCAGTTAGCCTTTTAAACACTGACTCACTGGGGGTCCACAGAGGGATCAAAGACACCCTAGGCAAGGCTGGAGGGGACAATAACGTGGAGGGATTTAGGACTCAATGGAGGTCAGAGTAGACAAAACAAGTGGAAGGCAGCAGATGATCCAGCGATATCTGCACAAGCTGCTAAGTGGATTCACAAGGGGCTGCAAACACATGCTTCAATAATGGAAGCAACAGTAATATTCACATGCTCATCTAGCCCCACCCCAAATGCATACCTGTTTACATACATCTAGCTGTACATACACAACATCAGCCTGCTTGCTTCTCTGAAAATTTCGAGAAGAGGATAAAGCAGCAGAGCTTAGCCCTCTCTGACCATTTAATAACATTAATAATTAGTAAAGGTTTTTATTATCGACAGAGGAAGAAGCATCAATAGCCGGCTTAAATAATTAAATCCATATAGTCAGTAGGTTATTAACGATTGAACACTAATGACAAAGGGCTACAATTTAGCTCCCTGGCTCTCCACTTTAGCCTCTTCCCTCTCTCTCACACACTAGGGATGTACTGAAGTTCCTTTGCATGGACCTACATTATCCTGCACTGCACTTAATGGCTCTGATGCTCCTCTATCTCTCCTTCTGACCTGCTTTCATCTAGTGTAGCTCTCTAAAATTGAAGGCTGACTCTCATGGTCAGTTTTTACACCTGGTTTCCTCTTTGCTTTTCTCTTTTGAAAATATGTTTGCAGTTTCAAATGAAATGATATTTCTTTTTGTAGCCCTACTCTTCATAATTCTAAAATGAAGAGAAGAATTAAGGACATTTTTTTTTTTTTAAACAAATCCTAATTTTGCATTTGTGTGTGTTCCAGTACCTGTACAGGCGAGGCATTGCTGTATCCCCCCATGGTGATCGGCACAGAAAACTGCTCCATGAAGACAGGCAGTGTCCCCAGTTTGCCGGGGAAGACGAAGTCAAACAGAGACCACAGCTCCTTCAGATTGTTCTGCATTGGAGAGCCCGACAGAATGAACCTGTGGGGAGTACGAAACTGGAGACGGAGAAGGAACAATTTAACATATATTATATAAAATATGACGTGACACTCTAGCACACTTATGTTGCAGTACAAAGGTAAATGACAACAAATAACTTCCTCCAATGTGAGGAATATAAATCTTAATAATGACTGTGTCTTTGTGTGTGTATGTAGGACTATGGAGATGGAGAAGCTAGATTATTGCTACAATTTTAAAGCCATGTGTTGCTCTTTAAACTCTGCACAGCTGCCATTTATTCCTAAGATAAAGTCAGTATTATTGACTTGACTCTTCAAGTGCTGTGGTTAAAATGTGTAAGTTCATGAATTTGTGTGAACAATACCTGTTTGCAGGCAATGGTAACTCCAGCATTTGGATTTCTGATCTTATGCCCCTCATCCAGTATAATATAGTGCCAGTCATATCGCTGCAAGGTGTCTTGCATATTCCTCACAGCTGAATATGAGGTTATCAGAATACCATGACATGATGTTATCTCTGGAATGAGCTTTTCCTGCAACAGAAAAAAAACCCAGACCTCTATCAGTACAGGTTTTCATCAGTGCAATTAATAACAGCCTCTGGGATCCTGTACTTTAAAGTGTCCAAGTAGAGCATGTCTCTCAGTGTGGTGTGAGACAAGAGGGCAAAAAGGGTAATGCTGCATAAACAGATCTCTAGTGCCCCCTAGAGGAAAAACAGGCCCTGCAGAAAACATTCTAGCTAAATTATAGACATAAAATGTAACACACATATCCACACACACCTTGTTGCTGGTGAAGGAGCCAGTTTCATGTAGAACAGCCACTCTAAAAGGAGGCCACCAGGTGTGAAACTCCTTCACCCATTGATGCATGACTGTAGTCGGGCACACGATGACTGTAGGGCCCAGACCGACATACCTACAACAAAAACAGTGCAGAGATGTTTAATCTCAAAGCTGTATTTAAGATGAGTAAACAAGGGAACTCAGGGTCTATTAACTTTGGACAACCTCAGCAAATTTCATTAGCAAATTACAGTCATAATTTCTATACCAAATTATAAAAAAAATACTGATTCTTTTTCCTACAAGTTACAACAAGAAAATTGTGCTTGGCTTGCATGAACAATGTGTAATGCATTTAGGCATATAGAAAATAGTGGAAGCCGAGTGCAGCAGAATAAACCAACAACAAAGTCCAATTCCACTGCTCCACTCACTTTCTGTGCCTTATAAATGAATCAAAGGTGCAGGACCACATGCTCAGCTCCTCTGTGAAGATTTACAAGAGCTTTGTCAAACACACGTACACAAAAAGAGACACTAATGGGCTGGTATGAACCTCTGCCTGGTGGAAGCTATTGATACTGGGCCATAATTGAGTTTGCAGGCAATCAATTTGTGGGCGTCTATAGCAGACAGAGTATTGACCATCAGGGAGACTCCACCTCCTAAATGTATGAGTGCTGTTTGTGCAGTAAAACCAACTTATCACCACCATCATGTCAGCTGTTCCATGGCTGATGTCTTGTCCCGCACCTGCTCCACTCCCACATGATGAGTCCAAAATTTATTTTAAGTGTTCAAGACACTCACTTTACTATAACACTCTCTCTCTCAAATGCACACACTGAGTGTCAGTGTTTTCTCTGATGTCTGCAGTAAGAAAGTGAAGAGTCTGATAATTGAAACATGTTTAATAATTCAGATGAACACTCTCAAGCAGAGATCCCCCTAATCAAATATTCATACCATACAGACACACAGTCGCTGGCCACAGTTTGATTGTGTTTGTGTGTGTGTGTTTCTACCTATAGTTGGATCCTCTGGTCCTCAGTTTGCTGTAGCTCAGTCCAGCCAGAAAGCTGATGACCTGGATGGTTTTACCCAAACCCATCTCGTCTCCCAAGATGCCGCCTGCTTGCTGACAATGGAGTTCCCACATCCACCGCACACCTGTCTGCTGGTACCTGACAATGCCATATATACGTATGCAGAAAGTGGTTTAGGTAGTCTGGTTTGTTAAGAGTATCAGAATAAACAGTGAGGTATAGCTGCAGTAAACTAACAAGGTTTATGGTGTCTTGATTATATAAGCTTTAGTTAATCAGTGTCAATTCGGCACAAGGGTCTGTAAGAGCAAAGGGTTTGTTGTACAGTACTATACCAGAGGAGGCACACAAACTACTCAACAGATTAACATTTCTGACCATAGACATTTGAAATAACTCTCAACACTTCATAATGAACTTACTTGTAAAGTTTTTTCCAGAGGAAGCCAGGCACTTTGAAGCCTTCATCAAACTCGGCATCACTGTCATCTGTAAGCTCCTCGCCTCTTTGTCTCTTCGCCTCCCTTTCTTGAAGACGCTGTCGCTTCCATCTCCTAGTAAGGCAACGATTATATAATGATGAGGTTATAGCACATGCAGGATTTCTCTGTTTTAGTGTGAAGATCTTGATGGGTCAGTCAATATTAGTACATGCAAGACCTGCTTAGTGTTTAAACAAGGGCTCTAGGAGTTAAATACTGTCAAGCAACACCAAAGAATTGACAACACTGTCAGTTCAAACTTGTGTCTGATATTATGGTTTACATCCCAAATTTAAGTAATTTGCTAATCTAAGATCAAAAAAGTGATATGTTTCATGTTGGTTTCCTTTTCCTATAGATACTAGTCCTGTGACAGATGACTGACCACTACTGTACATGCAACCCTAAACAGGATGAGCAGGTATAGAGAACGGATAGATGGATGTTCCATTTGCACCTATTACACTCTGATTCATTTTAAGAGTTGCCTACACAGGTGAATGGCTAGCAAATGTTTGTGGTTGTGGGTATTTCCCTTGAGCGGTGAACATCTACAGCAAAAGAGGAAATGTAAAGGAGAACTGTTTTAATAGTGCAGGAGAGAGGGCAGTTAGAGGTACAGTCATCGCAAATGAAGATTGATACAGACAATTAGTAGTGCGAGTTCCCCAGAAAGGTGTGAGGTGCAGAGGATAAGAATCCATCTTCATTTGGGCCTGGTCCTGTCACCCTGCCATGAAACTGGTCCTTTAGCTGGGCCTGAGAGACCACACTCTCTAATTAAGTCAAGACTAAGCATTGGTTCAGTTAATTACACTTTTCTGCCCTCAACTCCACCCCCCCCACCCAACTACAAATACCATCCACTCTAATAATATCATTCCTCATATAAGCTAGCCACACCATCCACGCTGTGTCTATGCTGTTGAATTGACATTCAATCATTGTAGTGTAGAAAAAGGACACATGCCAACACAATTTATTTGGCAGCTATAAATATAAAATCTCATTAGGGCTGCTCTTCCATTAATTTGAGCATTAGAGTGAGTGAGTGTTTAAAACCATGTGCAGGAGGATAATTAGGCCACTGTGAGAGCAGAGAGAGAAGAAGAGCAGGGAGTGAATTTGCTTAGTCAAGAAACAGCTGCCAATCTCATCTGGGATTAACTCCCCTTCTGCACTATGGAGCCAGCAGACAACAACTGCTTTTGTCCTTAACTAAAGGGAATAACAATAGCACATTTGCACCACTGCCATTACAAATGTGACACACAGTTTAAAGCTCAATATGGTGTTTGCCCAGCATGTCAGTTACAGGCGTGGAGGTCTGTGTTCACTTTAGAAGACTTGTCGATGAGAACTTTTTGCACCTTTGCATTCAGCAGTAACTCAACTGTACAAATATTCTCTTAGCAAACTGTAAATACATTACAAAAAATATGACTTCATAATTAATGTTAAATTGGAGAACAAAATAACTATCTATACATGTTTAAAGTAGCAAGTATGATAATCTTACCTTATTCGCTGTCTGTAGTACTCCACATCTCCATCATCTTTGCATTTTTTCTCTTTACCCTTCCCATCCTCCTCTTCATCTGAACTCTCAGGGAAGTATTCTTCTTCACTATCCTCAGTTTTCTTGACTTTCCTCCTCCCTCTCCCCTCAGTTCTTCTCTTGTATGGCTTCAGCTCATACTCTTCATCATCATCCTCCCCAAAGCCCTCCTCCATGGCTTCCCTTTCCTCTTGGTCAGGATCTATGCCTTCATCACTAGGCAGGTACTCTGTCCCCTCACTGTCTGTCTCCTCTCCCTCAGTGTGATGCCTCTTCCTTGATTTAGGGAGCTGTGGCTCAGCCTTAGGCCGGGCCTTAGGATGGGCCTTCAGAGCAGCTAACTGGAGCTTTCGCATGCGCTTCCTTAGTTTTTTATCTTTGGAAGAGGAAACCATTTTGCTGGCTTTTCCCCTGATCTTCTCATCAGGTCTGAGTCCAGAGCTCCTCTTCTTTTTTAGGAAAGGGACTCTCTTCCTCTCAGTAGCCAGCTTGGCCTGGTCAGCCAAGTACTGATCGAAGGCCGAGTTCTCAGCAAGCATCACTTTTCGAGGTACCTTCTTTACTTGAGGGATCCGGGTTCCAAAAGGAGTCATGTGACCTTTCCGAATAAGCTCCTCCCATTCAGTCTCCTGAGCCGGCATGAGCATGCTGCCCAGTGTGGATGGCCCAGCTTCAGCTGCAGCACACACACAAGTGCAGAGTTAGATAGAGAACTACTTAGTATCCGTTGTTGAACGGTAGCCTGTAGAGATTTTTTAAACCACTAGCAGTGCTGCAGAGTGTGGATACCCGAGCTGAGCCTGATGGGACCTGTTGGTACCCAAGGGTTCAAGCTAGGCACATAGGTCAAACTTTAGGCTAGACAGCTGGAGCACTCAAAATGTCTGCTTCACCTAATAATGAGGGGGAAAAAATATCATACAAACTCAGCTGCACTGGGCTTGGGGTCAGGTTTGCACATTATGTACTCTAAGCTTGTTGGGGTCCAGGTCAGGTTTGGATGCCACATGCTCAGGCACAGGTCAGGTTTGGACAGAAATGTGGGACTCGATCCATGCTCTACTGTAGAGCAGCGTTTTAATTAGCAAGTCCTCATATTGTTTGCATCCCCTCTATGCACATGAAGGCAACAATGCATGGGTGCAAGAAGAGTTTAAATGATTCAAAGGATCAATTTTTTGTTTGTTCTATAAGATAGGAAATACACTGAACACATTTGCTATGTCTCAAGGCTGTGCACAAAACATTTTCCTGACTGAATGTAAACATGACTGTTTTACAAGAAGCTCTACAAGGTACAGTACATCTACATGTGAAGCTATATTTACATTAGTTTGTTCAAGATGAAAAAAAGGGTTGGTGTTTAGGAATGTCATGGCCACCATCACTACAACTAGTATTAACAGTCTGCACGGCTTCCATTTCTGCTTTGTTGAGCTATATTTGTGTGAATATGACCCTGGTTTCACATTATCAATAGAAAATGAGGCATCAGCACTTATTTGTGACTTATGGTTTCCCTCAATGGTAATGAACTTCTTTGAATGCATTAAAATAAATCACAGGTCAAAAATACAACACGTCACCTTCCTCTCCATCATCCTGTGCCAAAAGCTCAGTTTCCACCCTTTGAATGTCCTCTCCTCCCAGAATGGCCTGAAGTCGCTTCTGTTTGGCTCTGACTTTCTTCAGCTGCTTCTCCTGAATGTAAAGGTGTTTTTATCACAACAGTCACTATCAATACTATGTTAATGCAGCATTATCATGTATAAAATTTTATGGTTGATCAATTGTACAGTGGCTTAAGAAATTATTGAGACTCCACTTCAGTTTTTGAGAAGCACCCCCATGGACTGATGCTGCCACCACAATACTTCACTGTAGGTGATGAGCAGTGCCTGGTGTTCACTAGACATAGCACTTATAATTCTCCCCAAAGGGTTACTTTTTGTCTCATCACACAAGAGTCCTTCAGATGTTGTTTAAAGTCAAACTCCAAGCAGCCTGTCACCTGCCTTTTAATAAAAGTGGCTTCCATCTAGCCATTCTACATGAAGGCTTGATTGATGAAGTAGTGCTGAGACGGTCATCCTTTCTGCAGGTTTTCCCATCTCTGTAGATGGCTTGAGAAGAGGACTTCTGAAACTTCTGAACTGACCACTGGGTTCATGGTCTCCTCCCTGACCAAGGCCCTTCTTACTCATTTATTCAGTTTGGCCAGACAAGTCCTGATGGTTCAAGACAACTTCTTTTTCACAATCACTGAGGTCACTGTGCTCCTGGGAATCCTCAAAAATGTAGAAGTGATTTTACTGATCTGTGCCTGGCCACAGTTTTATCTTAGAGGTTTACAGAACATTCTTTGGAGTTCATGGCTTGGTTTTTTGCCCTTACATGCAGTGTGAAATGTGGGACCTTATATGTACTATGTCCAATCAATTAAACAGTTTGCCACAGTTGGACTCCTATTAAGTTCTAGGGTCCTTTCACACCTACAGCGTTTAGTTCGACTGAATCGAACTAGAGTTCGTTTTCCCTCTTGGTGCGGTTCATTTTGTCTGGTGTGAACACGGTAATCGCACTCGAGTGCGCACCAAAACAACCGCACCGAGACCCCCAAAATGAGGTGGTCTCGATCCGCATCATCTAGCGAACTCTGGTGTGGTCCTCCTGGTGAGAATGCGTACCAAACCAAAACAGGACCAAAGGCCGTGAATCACATGATTTGAGGGCATTGGATTATGGGTAGATTTTATTTCCTGTCACCCAAAACATGCGCCAGGATGAATCGTGGGCAAACTGTACGACTTGGTTTAAGTGGTAAATGCAAGTAACGTAATACAAAATAACTAGGGCGAGGCCCAACCCGCGTATGTTGACCTCCATCCTCTCTCGTCACAGAAACGTGGACTTTCTTCCTTTATTTACTTTTTCTGTTCTCGCGGCAGACACATCTGACCAATAAGCAGAGAGAACGTTCTCGCGTAGTTTTACATGACGTGTTTTGCTGCGCTTGGATTTTTCTGCGTGTGAAACAAAACCGAACCAAGGAGACATTGCTACATGTTTACAAACTCGTCAACTGATTCAGACCAAAGCAAAAGAATTAAGGTGTGAAAGCACCCCTAGACACATCTCAAAGAAAATTCAAATGAACAGGATACACCTGACAACAGCAAAGACTCTGAATCCTTTTGTAAAATTTTCTAAAAACATTTTCACTTTGTCATTATGGGTTAATTAGTGTAAATGGCAATTGTATCCAATTAAAATGAACTGTGTACAAAAAGTATAGGAGTTTGAATACTTTCTGAAGCCACTGTAGAATTTTACCTTATTTTCCTTTTGACGTTTGACAGATTCAATCTTCCTACTGATATCTTTGCTGGAGGCAGCATAGGGAGACAGCTGCTCAATAATCTTGTTGATATGTTTCAGAGATGCTGTGACAGACCTGAAACACACACCATTAAAAAAAGAGAAGATGATTTATTAGCCCCTTGAAGTTGTCATTTTGACTTCTGCTCAAAATAATGTTACTGGATGTTATGCATCAGCATTTACTCAAAACAATTTAAAAACATGATCTTTTATATTCTACATTTGAGCTTATTTACATGAATTATTACCTACACAAATTATTTATATGATGCTCTTGTCCATTACCTGACATCATCGAGCACCGAGTGGTACTCCTTCTCAGCTTCAGCTCTAGAAGCTGCAAGACTGGCCTCCTGGATTGCCTGGTCCACTTGCTGCAAGACACCTTGCTCAAGGACATCCTGGTCATACACAGCCACACCAAGGCCCTGGAGCTCATCAGCTCCAGAACTGGCAGATGCTGCTTGGATGCGCTGTCGGTCAATCTGCAGCAAGGCTCTAGACCTCTTGCTGGCTAAAAACCGCATAGACAATAAAATACATTCAGTGACTGTGTGTTTCTCAAGATAAATCCCTTGGTAAGTCCATTTTCATTCTCTCTTATCTGTCCAAGATGTTGCATAGCTCACCGCTGTTGCCCTCGCCTGGTCCAGTGTTGACAGGATAGGCTGCAGCAGCCTCAGAGCCCTGACCGTTAGAGCAGACCACTGAGCCCCCTGTAGCTGCATCCTCCTCTGTCCCCCCTGAGGTGAGGGCAGCACTAGCCGGGTTGGAGAGAGAGGAGGACACCTGGTCCTCTGTAGCTTCTACAGGCATAGTGATGTGGCTACAAGCAGAGGCAGTCCGTCAGTCGTGATCTTAACATGATCAGGAGGTGTTTTGTCACACTCCTTGGCAGTACTTTAACTAAGTGTATAACGTGAACTAAACATGGTTATTGTGGGTGACCTTACAGTTTATTCAAATAGGTTATGTTAAGTGTGAAGCTAAATCGTTACCATTAGATAAGGAATGGTGACTTGTAAGGTTAAGTTATTAAGCAATCAAGGGTAACGTTCCCAGATCTTTGTGATTTCTGACTGGAACATAATGTATCATCTATCTATCTATCTATCTACATACATACATACATACATACATACATACATACATAAAATGCTCTTCTCGAAGTGGTTAGATACACAGTTATAACTTTCATATAACTTACAGCTCCCTTGGAAGCATCAAACTCTCTCTCTCATACGTCCATTGTTTACGTGGCTAGGCTAAACCGCTAAGTTAACCGTGGGTATCATCAGCTTGTTCAGCTTGACTGGACAGCAGCCGGTCGGCTTCAATTAAACTACCAACAATTACAGATTACTCATACAGGTAAGATCGATAAACAGTGCTGGGTGAAGTTAAGTACGTTCAACCGAGTGCCGAAGTGTGAATATAAGAAATTACTTACAAAACGTGTAGTTACACAACATCACTAGCCTGGTTGGTTGTCATATTGCTTCCTGGTTTCCGATGCCAAGGAAACCACTGTGCTCTCTGTTCAGTCAGTTACTTGTTGGACAGCGCCCTCTGCTGGTTGGTAGCTTCGAGGGCATTTACTCTCTAGATGGCGCCACAAAACCACTAACTTTATTGATGAATTAAATGCGGAGGAACACACTGAACCAGTCTCAGTCCAGAGATCACATTCTGACATGTAATCCATTGTATTTGTGTTTTGCATAATCATCTTGGGAACTAGTATGTGCTGAATAAGAAGCAATAAATGTTGGAAGTTTTTGTGTTGCAGTAAGGGTGTAGTTCATCCAGACCTTTTATAATGGCAACATCCAGTTAGCCACTCCAAATCTTAAAGCTTACATTCCTCTGCAAAACGTCAGTCTCTTGTAATTTGGTCCCTGAAATTTTTTTTCAAAGGTTTGGAATCTCTGCGCTTCATAGATGTGACAAACATGAGCAGTGCCAATTACTTGCATCTCAAGAGAAGTTTATTTTTAGTGTCATGCAACAATAAATGAAGGACTTAATTAAAATTACTCCTCCACCCTGTACAGCAGTGCCCGAGAAGAGGGTTATGTGAATAAACAGACACATTTATATAGGGATAGATATTGTTGGCTCACAATTGGCTCAGAAAGTGTAGAAAGATGAAGACACTGGTATATTTTAGTTGGTTAAGTAGTAAATGTGGGTCACTTTCAGTGGAACTTCTCCAGAGACACTAGAGTGGATATGAATTCAAAAAGTACTGAACCACAAGGAAGGCTTGTCACAGTAAGAAATAGGTCTTGAGGTTTGATTAACAAAAGACCGTCAGGCAGCCAAAATGTTTTCTTTGTTGCTTTTACTTCTGGGTGACTGATATAAAGGCAAACACATCAGAGTTAGAATAAGTCAAATAAACTATAAATTTGCTATTGAATCACCTTGGGAACTAAACTGATACATTCACACAATGTTATGACTGCAAGGTTGAGCTGCAGAAGAATGTAAACCTTCTGTGTTCACCCTTGTCAGGGACCAAACAGTAAGGCAGCTTTTAAAGTTCAAAAAATTGGTTTTTTATTCACCCAAAAATAAGGAAAAAATACAAACATCAATATCAAATCAACTGGGCCCTAAAAGAGGTCAACAAAAGATAAGGAAAATCAAAATACAACCAAATGAACTGCACAGTACCTCAAACAAAAACCAAGTAACCTCACAAATGACACACAGGGAAACATACAGTATATACTGGCTGGCCAAACCAATAACACACAAAGTTTTAACATAAACTACAAATAAATACATACATTTCTCCCAAACTCCCCCCTTTCTTGTATTGGGCACTTGGTGCAGTCCAGGCCTAGTGGGAGGTATTTAAACCTGCTGTTGCCTCAGTCCAATCTTTTTGTCAGAACCACCCCCATCCATGGACCAGGAAACATGGTAACTCAAAAAGAAGTGTACACACATTAACAATACAAAATTAACCAAATGTGGATGCTTCATTGATTAATTGTGTACATCCAATGTCAAATCAAATGCCTAACCAACTTAAGTCTACACACATGAACAAAGAAAACAAAAGAACATTACCTAGTTAATTCTACTGCTGGTGTTGGTTTAGGCCCTCACATGGTGAAGGCCAGGACTGAGGCCTTCACAGCCCTTCATCTTTATGTGTGTAAAACATACTTAACACATTTTATTAGAGAGTAGGAAAATATAACATGAATAAATGTGGCTGTGTTTTTCAGCATATCATATCTTAGAGAAAATTAGTTCCTCACCAATCTTTCCAAGCTTAGTGGGTGGCAAAGCTGTTCTTCTCAACTTCATGTGTGTGCATGAGCATATATGATACTGTTTATTTAAATTTAAGGAGGTTAAAGATTTATAGGCTGGAGGAGGGTACAGTGTAAATCCCAGAGGGTGCCATGGTGTGATGTTAACACTGGTGCTCTGTGTTGCTTTGCATCCTGACAGTAGAATAACAAGTGGACCAAGATTTAGAGAGACAACATTATAGGTTGAAGTTCACATGCAGAAAACTTGGTCAGAGAGTTATGGCTCCACAACATGCTGAGTGTTTATGTGTGCATAAAGAGGTAAGTGACGTAACACAAGACACTGTAATACACTGGTGATGCATGCTATACTTGATCTTCTCTGTCTATTATCTCCTGCAAACTGTTCTCCTTCACTGAAGAATGTTTTAGTTTGCATGACCTTCATCAATTGTCTGGAACATGATGAATCTCTCGAGGATGAGATCATTTTACAAATAATTCATAATATACTATAGGGATGTTCTTTGCCTCAGATGAACCACTTATTCATTACTGTAGGTCTAGGCTCTTATTCAAATTATGACTTATCTTGATCCAACTATACTTACTTAAACTCCAGAAAATGAAAACACTTGGTAGATGAATTATTAGGTGCAGGCCTAATATGTTATTCTATTACATGCATGCAATTTTTGGCTCAGCTGAATCTTAATAAAGTAAATATAAGTGTGTATATATAAAAATTGAAGAGCGAACTGACAGAGATACTATATATCTTCTATATGTCACAATATGCACACAAGTAACACATCATTATGTCTATATTAATGTATATTCAACCATATTGTTTTCTACATGTGTGTGGCCATCTTGGCAGTGCTAATGTCTCCCATGCGCTCTTTTGTCCCACTTAGTACAGGTCTTTGCGTGTATGTCTGATAGTAATTAGAGGGGTGGGGTGAGTTCTCATCCGGGTGCATGAGACCACTGCCATGTTAAAGCAGATGCCAAATGCATCTGCTTGTGATTTCACTGAGCAGCAGGTGTGTTTATGTATGTGTGTGCGCACATAACCAACTGCCTGCTACTGTGCTTATACAAACAGCATGAAGGACATTAGCTGCACTGTCCAAAATGTTGAGCTTAAGGAAATTAGTTTTAATCTTTATTTACCTATAAAAGGTTATAAAGTGATTCCTAAAATGAACAGGAAAGCACCTGCGTGTAAACTTGTTCCAACCAGGACTGAACACGTTCTCATATATGTCTACCTCTTCCAGGTGGGGTTCTGTTGATGCATGAATAGGGGTTCACACAGAACAGACCCCACTAGAGTGGTGACTCTACATTCTAAACTTATTTCATTTGTTATGAATTTTTGCAGTGCCGGTTCACAAATGCCAAGCTGATAATAGAGGCACGCTGGATATGTGCCCCCGTGTAAAAGCAGCAGTTCATCTGTGAAGTCTTGAAGACACGGAGCAGATAGGGAGGTTCCATGGGAGAGAAAATGAATGAACATCAGCATAAATGCAAACTTCCTACAGCAGGAAACCTTTACATTTCTTTAAGTAATGTTATATCTCCCAGCAGTTTAAACTGAGTTATGAGTCTCCCTCACCTGGTACCTCACAGACAGGACAGAAACTAGCTTTAACTTTTATATTACAGTTCAATAAATTACATTTAGATACCACTAAACTGCAACAGAAAACCTGCTTGGAGGAAAATGTAATTGTGACAGGATTATATTTACTATTGACATAATGAGAATGTGTTGTTAATTTAGGCTACGTGTTTGGCACATTGCATGTACGTTGTTGGTAGTCAGTGTATTTTTATTTTTTTTTTACAAAGCAACACAGCGCAATATCCACTTGTGGTGGCTGTGGCTCACGAGGTAGGGCAGTCGTCTCCTGACCAGCAAGTTGATGGTTCGTCTCCCTAAGTGCCTAAGTGTCCCTGAGCAAGACACTGAACCCCAAATTGCTCCCGGTGGCTTGATTAGCGCCGTTGTGTGGCAGCTGTCGTCATCGGTGTGTGAATGTTCTGTGTGAATGGTGTATCATCTCTGTAAAGCGCTTTGGCCAGTGTAACACACTGTGGAAATGCACTATATAAATACAGTCCATTTACCAATATCCACTTGTAGAGATTAAACCTTTTATGGTTATGTCAAAGCATTTTAGTTAAGGTTAGGGCAAGATTGTGGTTTTGGTTAAATGTACATAAACATGTTGTATACTAAGAAGATCTCGGTTCCCTCAAAGCAGGTTTTCGGTTGTGTGGTTTACACAACCACTATCCATCCCAGCCACCTCTGTGGAAATCAGCTACCATTAGTAATGTGCATCATCGTTTATCCAAAAGAACCCTTCGGTCTTTGAATCTAATCCAGCCAGCTCTGATATTTCCTACAAAATG